TGCTGCTCCTGCTGCTGTGCTGGTTGCTTGCTGCCCCTGTGCTATGCTACTGCTGCTCTGCTGCTCCCCTGCTGCTACTGCTGCTCCGCCCCTTTGTACTGTTACTGCTGCTTCCTGTGCGGGGCCCTGCTGCTGCTGCTGTGCTGCTACTGCGCTCCTGCTGCTGCTGCTTGCTGCTGCTGCTGCCCCTGCTCCCCCCTGATGCTCCTGCTCCTGCTGCTGTGCTACTGTACGCGCTCTGCTGCTGCTGTTACTGCTGTGCTTGCTGCTATTGCTCCCTGCGTTGTGCTGCTGCTGTTGCTGTGTGCGCTGTGCTGCTGCTTTTGTGCTGCTGCTGCGTTGCTGCTCCTGTGCTGCTGTGATTCTTGGCTGTGTCTTGCTGTTCCCCTGCGCTGTGCTCCTGCTCCCCTGCTGCTGCTGCTGCTTCTGCTGTGTGCTGTGCTGCTGCTTCTGCTGCTGCCCCCTTGCTGCTGTCCTGCTGCTGCTCCTGCTGCTGCTGCTGCTGCTGCTGAGTGTGTCAGCGACCGATGTTTGTTATTAACAGCTTGTGGGGGGAGGGAGGTCATTACTCTCCTCCAAGTCTCTGAAAAACCTTTAACCACATTCATGTTAGACACTTACCACAGTTTCATAATATTTCTTCTTGTAATTGTATATGTACTTCATACACAGCTTCATGTTCGGGTATTTCAGATTGTGTAGTATCATCAAAGTTTGTACCAGATTACCTCGTAGCCTCCATTACCTCGTAGCCTCCATTACCTCGTAGCCTCCATTACCTCGTAGCCTCCATTACCTCGTAGCCTCCATTACCTGGTAGCCTCCATTACCTCGTAGCCTCCATTACCTCGTAGCCTCCATTACCTGGTAGCCTCCATTACCTCGTAGCCTCCATTACCTGGTAGCCTCCATTACCTCGTAGCCTCCATTACCTGGTAGCCTCCATTACCTCGTAGCCTCCATTACCTGGTAGCCTCCATTACCTCGTAGCCTCCATTACCTGGTAGCCTCCATTACCTCGTAGCCTCCATTACCTCGTAGCCTCCATTACCTCGTAGCCTCCATTACCTCGTAGCCTCCATTACCTGGTAGCCTCCATTACCTGGTAGCCTCCATTACCTGGTAGCCTCCATTACCTGGTAGCCTCCATTACCTCGTAGCCTCCATTACCTCGTAGCCTCCATTACCTCGTAGCCTCCATTACCTCGTAGCCTCCATTACCTCGTAGCCTCCATTACCTCGTAGCCTCCATTACCTTGTAGCCTCCATTACCTCGTAGCCTCCATTACCTCGTAGCCTCCATTACCTCGTAGCCTCCATTACCTCGTAGCCTCCATTACCTCGTAGCCTCCATTACCTCGTAGCCTCCATTACCTCGTAGCCTCCATTACCTCGTAGCCTCCATTACCTGGTAGCCTCCATTACCTGGTAGCCTCCATTACCTCGTAGCCTCCATTACCTGGTAGCCTCCATTACCTCGTAGCCTCCATTACCTCGTAGCCTCCATTACCTCGTAGCCTCCATTACCTCGTAGCCTCCATTACCTCGTAGCCTCCATTACCTCGTAGCCTCCATTACCTGGTAGCCTCCATTACCTCGTAGCCTCCATTACCTCGTAGCCTCCATTACCTCGTAGCCTCCATTACCTGGTAGCCTCCATTACTGGTAGCCTCCATTACCTCGTAGCCTCCATTACCTCGTAGCCTCCATTACCTCGTAGCCTCCATTACCTCGTAGCCTCCATTACCTCGTAGCCTCCATTACCTGGTAGCCTCCATTACCTGGTAGCCTCCATTACCTCGTAGCCTCCATTACCTCGTAGCCTCCATTACCTCGTAGCCTCCATTACCTCGTAGCCTCCATTACCTGGTAGCCTCCATTACCTCGTAGCCTCCATTACCTCGTAGCCTCCATTACCTGGTAGCCTCCATTACCTGGTAGCCTCCATTACCTCGTAGCCTCCATTACCTCGTAGCCTCCATTACCTCGTAGCCTCCATTACCTCGTAGCCTCCATTACCTGGTAGCCTCCATTACCTGGTAGCCTCCATTACCTCGTAGCCTCCATTACCTCGTAGCCTCCATTACCTCGTAGCCTCCATTACCTGGTAGCCTCCATTACCTGGTAGCCTCCATTACCTCGTAGCCTCCATTACCTCGTAGCCTCCATTACCTCGTAGCCTCCATTACCTGGTAGCCTCCATTACCTCGTAGCCTACATTACCTCGTAGCCTCCATTACCTCGTAGCCTCCATTACCTCGTAGCCTCCATTACCTGGTAGCCTCCATTACCTCGTAGCCTCCATTACCTCGTAGCCTCCATTACCTCGTAGCCTCCATTACCTGGTAGCCTCCATTACCTGGTAGCCTCCATTACCTCGTAGCCTCCATTACCTCGTAGCCTCCATTACCTCGTAGCCTCCATTACCTGGTAGCCTCCATTACCTCGTAGCCTCCATTACCTCGTAGCCTCCATTACCTCGTAGCCTCCATTACTGAGTGGGAACTTCTTAAGTAATTCCTTGTTCAGTTTTTATTGTTGACAATGTTTGTTGTTATTCTTCACTTTCTCTTAAGTTCATCAACATATTTTATATAATTAGGGCACCAGAGCTGGAGAGTATTTTCAAGGTTAGGTCTAAGAAGATCGTTGTACAGGTTATTGTTCAGGGTTTGCGGGATAAAAATTTCTTTCTTGGATATTTTAGATAATTATTTATGATTATTGGAAGGTCTCCACGTTTGTCTATGTGAGTTTTCACATAAGATTCCCGTGCTTTATATTATACATAAAAATCATTATCTTACACTATGTTCATACTATCATCGTAGGATCGACACCATGCCCAGCCCTTCTAGGGCAGGGTAGGTGCCTGAGCCAGAGCTTGCACCTCACAAGACTGTCATTCCCATTATCCCCCTTGGGGCGGGGATGGCAGACCAGAGAGGCCTAGCTTCTCACTACGAGCCCTGTGAGGGCGGGGAATGTGGCTAGTCCTGGGGACAGTTGGTCCCAAAGATGAGGGGGTACTTGTACCTCCTCCCATGGCAGACTTAGGTCTCAGACACTACCTAGCCAGGGAGCCAAGGCCGGGCCACCACTTGGAAAAGGCCCGGGCCGGGAGAATACCGGCGAATCTTTAATAATAATAATAATAATAATTCATACCATCTACCACGAGGCTGCACATCTCCCTAATTTCGTGACTTCCTGGAATTTTGAAATTTTATGTAAATTAAAAACAAGAAGTCAAAGAACCGGTCCTGTGGAACTCCACCGGTCCTGTGGAACTCCACCGGTCCTGTGGAACACCACTGGTCCTGTGGAACACCACTGGTCCTGTAGAACACCACCGGTCCTGTGGAACACCACCGGTCCTGTGGAACACCACCGGTCCTGTGGAACACCACCGGTCCTGTGGAACACCACTGGTCCTGTGGAACACCACCGGTCCTGTGGAACACCACCGGTCCTGTGGAACACCACCGGTCCTGTGTTACTACTCAGACACACCGACATTCACAACTATGCTTCCTGTTAGTGAGTCAATCACTGATCCAGTTCTGAAGATTGTCCTCTGTGCCAGGTAATATTAGTTTACTTCGTAATCTATCGGTTATTACTTTATCTAAGGCCTTGTAAAAGTTGAGGTACTCGGCATCTGTGGGGAATTTTATCCTAATATTAAATTTATATATTGGAGAAATCATCCTGATTGTTGTTTATCTTCCAGAAATTTAACTCCGTTGTCCCCTATTTATAGTTTTCATAAGTTTTATCTGTTTACTCAACATCTGTTACCGGAGTAACAGTAGCCAGTTTCCAGTCATATGTTGCTGCACCTTGTGAATTGGGCTCAACAACAATAAACCATCTCAGACCATTAATTGCCCAACAAAAGGGTGTAGTCAGAATGATAAATTCCCACTACAGGAAGTATACTCCACCAATATTCAAAAGTCTAAACTTACTCACCGTACAAAACATCCATACTTATTATTTTGCCTACTGCATACATAGAACACTAAACTCGGATATAAACCCTCCCCTCAAACTTCTTCTTACCAACCTCAACAGAACACATGATCATAACACAAGACACAGATCACTCTTTGATGTTCCTCGTGTCCATCTCACACTATGTAAAAACTCAATGCACATAAAAGGCTCAAAAATCTGGAATTCATTACCTGTGAATATAAAAGAAACACTGTCTGTTTATCAATTCAAGACTCTTCTTAAAAACCACTTACTCAGCCACAACTAAATAAATACTGAATAACTGTATCTCATAAATGTTTAACTTGTGACCCTATCAAACTGTTTTTTTTTTAATTACATTACCTAATATAATACTCCATTCTCTTGAATGTACAGTAACTCATCTAATGACCATATGACCTGTTTCTGAAATACTCATTTGTACTTCATGTTGTAATTTGTTTACTGTAATTTTTACCACTGAATATATCATTGCTTAGTTAATCTTAAGTTAATTTTAAGCTGCCCATAATGCTCTGCATACAAGGCGCTTTTGGCATATACACTCAACCACTATATTTCTTTGTACAACTATGTATCATGTCCAAATAATAATAAATAAATAAATAAATAAATAAATTAATAATACACATCAGAGTACTATCATCGTCTTCTAGTAAAGGTCATATTGCAGTTTGAATCATTTACTTCATAAATATTTAAAAAAATATTTTTTTTTTATTCTTTCCGGTTGAAGTTAACAATTCTTAAGCTTTCTATTGTTTTTTTATGTGAATATACTCTATATGGAAAATATTTTTTCAGGGTTTTCTCTTAATATAGATGCCTTGTATATTTAAAACTGTAGTCCTTGTTATGAATTAATTGCTGAGTCATTACAATGCTTCCAATTTGAATTTTTTTTCCTTTCTCAATATATACAGAAGTTTGAATGTTTACGATATTTCCTCTACATTTGTTCTGCATTATGTATGTAAATATTTATGTGTATTTTTCAGTTGTGTGCGACACTGGGCACCACAGGTTCCTGTTCCTTTGATCACCTCAAGGAGTTAGGTCCTATATGTAAGTCTTTTATGTGTGTCTTATATGTAAGTTATCTATGAGGTCTAATGTGTTTCTTAAACATGTCTTCAGACATGAGTCAGTCACATAGTTCATAGTTTATCTTCAACAGGGATTTCTAACTTTTTAAGTATAAAAGATTTTTAGACACGGATAATTAACATTAATGTTGTGGCTAATAACCCAGAAACCTCAAACTAGCTAAACTGCCCTAAAAAAATCGGTATTTTTCGTTTATTAATTGATAGTGACGTAAAGTAAGAAGATAATGCTCCGTGAAATCCCTAAACTAGCCTAGTTAATATTGCTAAAATTAACGTGGTGTTATACGTTGTTTTCGTGATGTTTATATTGATTTCCGCGAGTTGTTGCAACAGTGATATTAAGCTTAGCTTGATTTTAACAGCGATGTGTTGCTGTGTAAGCTAACTCTGCAAGTCTGTCGTAAAAGCACAACATTAATATTCTTAACATGTGCCCTTGCTTCATGCTCTCACCACGTGCTTCACGTGCCCTCACGTGCTGCAGGTGAGCAGGAGGAGCTATGGATGCACGTGGACGCAGCGTACGCCGGTACGGCTTTCATCTGCCCAGAGTTCCGGTACTTGATGAGTGGTATAGAGTACGCTCACTCCCTCGCTTTCAATCCCTCCAAGTGGATGATGGTACACTTCGACTGTACCGCCATGTGGTGAGTGTGTACTCACCTATTTGTAGTTGCTGGGGTCGATCATAGCTCCTTGCCCCGCCTCTTCGCTGGTAGCTACTTGGTCCACTCTCTCTGCTCCAAGAACAGGGAGGGAGTGTGTGTGTGTGTGTGTATGTGTATGTGTATGTGTGTGTGTGTGTGTATGTGTATGTGTGTGTGTGTGTATGTATATGTGTGTGTGTGTGTGTGTGTATGTGTACTCACCTATTTGTACTCACCTATTTGTGGTTGCAGGGGTCGAGTCACAGCTCCTGGCCCCGCCTCTTCGCTGATTGCTACTAGGTCCTCTCTCTCCCTGCCCCATGAGCTCTATCATACCTCGCCTTAAAACTATGTATGGTTCCTGCCTCCACCACATCACTTTCTAGGCTATTCCATGGCCTGACTACTCTATGACTGAAGAAATACTTCCTAACATCCCTTTGATTCATCTGAGTCTTCAACTTCCAATTGTGACCTCTTGTGTTTGTGTCCCATCTCTGGAACATCCCGTCTTTGTCCACCTCGTCTATTCCGCGCAGTATTTTTATATGTCGTTTATCATGTCTCCCCTGACCCTCCTGGCCTCCAGTGTCGTCAGGCCGATTTCCCTCAACCTTTCTTCATAGGACAATCCCCGTAGCTCTGGGACTAGTCTTGTTGCAAACCTTTGCACTTTCTCTAATTTCTTGACGTGCTTGACTAGGTGTGGATTCCAAACTGGTGCTGCATACTCCAGTATGGGCCTGACGTAGATGGTGTACAGAGTCTTAAACGAATCCTTACTGAGGTATCGGAACGCTATCCGTAGGTTTGCCAGGCGCCGTATGCTGCAGCAGTTATCTGATTGATGTGCGCCTCAGGAGATATGCTCGGTGTTATACTCACCCCCAGATTCTTTTCCTTTAGTGAGGTTTGCAGTCTTTGGCCATCTAAACTATATTGTGTCTGCGGTCTTCTTTGCCCTTCCCCAATCTTCATGACTTTGCATTTGGCAGGGTTAAATTCAAGAGCCAGTTGCTGGACCAGGCTTGTAGCCTGTCCAGATCTCTTTGTAGTCCTGCCTGATCCTCGTCCGATTCGATTCTTCTCATTAACTTCACATCGTCTGCAAACAAGGACATCTCTGAGTCTATCCCTTCCGTTATGTCGTTCACGTATACCAAGAACAGCACAGGTCCTAGGACTGACCCCTGTGGAACCCCGCTTGTCACAGGCGCCCACTCTGACACCTCGTCGCGTACCATGACTCGTTGTTTCCTCCCTGTCAGATATTCTCTGATCCATTGCAGTGCCTTTCCTGTTATGTGTGCCTGGTCCTCTAGCTTTTGCAGTAACCTCTTGTGAGGAACTGTGTCGAAAGCCTTCTTGCAGTCCAAAAATACGCAGTCGATCCACCCCTCTCTCTCTTGTCTTACTTCTGTCACCTTGTCATAAAACTCTAGTAGGTTTGTGACACAGGATTTCCTTCCCTGAAACCGTGCTGGTTGTCAATTATACACTTGTTTCTTTCCAGGTGCCCACCACTCTCCTCCTGATGATCTTCTCCATGACCTTGCATACTATACACGTTAGAGATACAGGTCTGTAGTTTAGTGCCTCATGTCTGTCTCCCTTTTTAAAAATTGGGACTACATTTGCCATTTTCCATACTCAGGGAGTTGCCCAGTTTCAAATGATGTGTTGAAGATCTTTGTTAATGGCTCACACAATATCTCTGCTCCCTCTTAAGGACCATGGAGAGATGTTGTTCTGGTCCCACCGCCTTTGAGGTGTCAAGTTCGCATAGCAGCTTCTTCACCTCCTCCTTGGTTATATGTACTCATCCAGCACTTGCTGGTGTGCCCCCCTGTTCTGATTTCTTGGAGTCCTACTGGTTTCCACTGTAAATACCTCTTTAAATCTTGTGTTGAGCTCCTGACATACCTCTCGGTCGTTTCTTGTGAATTCCCCATCACCCTTCCTCAGTCTGATTACCTGGTCCTTGACTGTTGTTTTCCTCCTGATGTGGCTGTACAACAGCTTCGGGTCAGTCTTTACTTTTGATGCTATGTCCATTTCATATTGTCTCTGAGCCTCCCTTCTTATCTGTGCATATTCGTTTCTGGCTCTTCGGCTGATTTCTTTATTTTCCTGAGTTCTCTGTCTTCTGTACCTTTTCCATTCTCTAGTACACCTAGTTTTTGCCTCCCTACACCTTTGGGTGAACCAAGGACTCGTTCTGTTCTTCCCATTATTTCTGTTTCCCTTGGGAACAACCTCTCCTCTGCCTCCTTGCATTTTGTTGCTACATAGTCCATCATTTCTTGTACTGGTTTTCCTGTCAGTTCCCTCTCCCACTGAATGTCTTGAAGGAAGTTCCTCATGCCTGAGTAGTTCCCCCTTTTGTAGTTTGTTTTTCCCAGCCTATTCCTGCTACTCTCTCCACTGGAGCTCAACTATGTAGTCGAAGCACAGAACCACATGATCACTAGCTCCAGGGGCCTTTCATACATGATACCCCTCGATGTCCGAACTACTCATGGTGAATACAAGGTCCAACCTTGCTGGTTTCATCCTCTCCTCTCTCTCTGGTAGTGTCTCTAACATGTTGATGCATGAGGTTCTCCAGTACCACACCATCATCTTGGCTCTCCATGTTTCGGGACCCCCATGGGGCTCCAGGTTTTCTCAGTCAATCTCCTTGTGATTGAAATCACCCATAACTAGTAACTTTGCTCCCCCCATGTGTGCTCTCCTGGCCACCTCGGCTAGTGTGTTGATCATTGCTCTGTTGCTCTCATCGTATTCTTCTCTTGGCCTCCTGCAGTTCTGTGGTGGGTTGTACATTACTGCAATTATCACCTTATGTCCCTCAGACTGGATTGTTCCTACTAAGTAGTCCCTTTCGCCCATGCCATCCATTCCTTCCATTTTCTCAAAACCCCACTGGTTTTTAATGAGCAGTGCAACTCCTCCTCCCCCTCTCCTCCCTCTGTCTTTCCTGAAGATTTGATATCCGGATGGAAAGATTGAATCTGTTATTATTCTGGTGAGTTTTGTTTCTGTGAGTGCTATTATGTCTGGGGATGTCTCTTTGATTCTTTCGTGCCACTCCTCATACTTGTTTGTTATTCCATCTGCATTTGTATACCAACACCTTCAACTTCTTTTATAAGACTGTGGTCTGGGAAGTATATTGGGGTTGGGGAAGTGGGGAGACCTGGTAAGGAACTATGGGTTGTTGCTGTGGGGGTGAAGTTTGTAATGTAGTGGGTGGGGGCATTGGATGTGGCATGGGTGTTTTGATTTAGAGTGTTTGGTTGCACTGGGGTTGACCTGGTTGGGAGGCTTCTATAGAAAGTTGTGAGGGAGGCTGTATTAGATCTTCTTCCTGGGTCTGGGGTCTCCTGTCTGTCTTCTCCATCCCCTCTCTTTCCTCCTTTCGCCTTTGTACCATCTCTCTGTTTCTTCCTTTCTTCTTGTGTTCTGTCGCGGTCGAGATACACCCTCCTGTATGCCGTCATGTCCCTTAATCGTGCTTTCTCCTGCAGTATCCTGGTCCGAGTCGCTTCTGCCTTGAAGGTCACTCTCACTGGCCGGGTTCTTTTTTTTACAAACCCCCTATTCTCCGAAAATTTTCCAGCTGGGTCATATCGTCTTCTCCTATTGCTTTCATGATGCTTTCAATTGCTTTTTTTTCCCTTGTTTTCTTGCTTCATATGTTTTCCCCTTCAACTTCCTGGAGCCCATACACAAAGACTGACCTCACCCTTTCATTCTCCCACTGCATATCCCTGTGTATCCCCTCATTTAATTTGGTTTCCTCCATTGCAGCTTTCCTTTCATCAGTTTCACTGGCTAATGTACTTGGGCTCAGTGGCCTGTCATTTTCCTTCTCGGCTTCCTTGGGCTCTGTTGTTGTCTGTTAGGGCCTCCACATAAAGCTTAGCTCTTTCATTTGCTACAGTCTCCTCTGATAGAGCATCTCCATGCAGTTGTGCCCCTTCTTTCCCTACAGTCCCCTTATTTGTGGCTGAGGTAGCAGTCTCTGTTGTCAATCCCAAAATATTCTTTAGTTCTTTAGGCTGTTTCAGATTTTTCAGTTCCTCTTCTAAACTCTGTATCCTAGCTTCTGCTGCTTTGACATGCACCTCCACTTCCTGCTTTCCATATCTATCCTCTCTTCCATTCTCATGCTAAGTTCTTCTAGTTTCTTTTCCCATTCATGATCCCTTATTATGAGCTCTGCTGCCCAATCTTCCTTTGCATTTTCCTCTCCTGTCCCTTGGTTTTTCTTGTTGCTCTCTGGCAACCCATTTTTGTTTTTATCCTGATTGCCTCAGAGTGGGAAACCTATGTAGTTCTGTATGTTAGGTTAGTAGTGTGTGTGTCAGAGTGTGGGGGGGGGAAGTAGTGGAGGAACTGTGGCTATTTGGGAGCTGAGTGGGGAGGGGTGGGGAGGGTTTGGGGTGAACGGGGGAGGGGAGGGTGATCGAGGGAGGGGATGGATCAGGGGAAGTAGTGAGATGTCGGTGGTGAGGGGGAGTGTGTGTGTGTGTGTGTGTGTGTGTGTGTGGTGTGTGTGTGTGTGTGAGTGTGTAATTTTGTGTGTAATTGTGTGTGGAATTATGTGTGGGTTTATTATGTACTGAAAGGTAGGTGGCTTGTGCATTTAAGGTAAGTCTCAGTGGTCCTTGGCTGCCCACACCTTCTTGTGACCTGACCAACCTCCTGGGACTTACCGCACTTACAGTGTGTGTGTGTGTGTGTGTGTGGTGTGTATGTGGGTGTATGTGTGTGTGTGTGTGTGTGTGTGTATGTGGGTGTATGTGTTGTGTGTGTGTGTGTGTGTGTGTGTGTGTGTGTGTGTATGTGGGTGTGTGTGTGTGTATGTGTGTGTGTGTGTGTGTGTGTGTGTGTGTGTGTTGTGTGTGTGTGTGTGTGTGTAATTATGTGTCGAATTATGTGTGGGTTTATTATGTGTCTGAAAAGTAGGTGGCTTGTGCTTGGAGTGTAATGTA